GAAAAGACGGCGAAACTTCCGGCAACAAAAGCTCTCAACTCCGGCGACCTTTCACCAAATTGATAGCACCAGAGTGTTCTTCTTTCTCAGAGCAGCAGAATAAAGGAAAAAATAGGATGTTTTGGTGAAGAATAGAGGGAGTTGGGTGTGGTTATGTAGGAAGGAAGAAGAGGAAGATGCCAAGATTCACTCCTGTTTGTGCGGCCGAGTGGAGTGAACGGCGATTGTGTAGAATTTCAAACGCAAGTCCCTGATTGGGACTAATTTCAGTCCCAGTTGGGGTACACTTTTTGGTCCAACATTCTCCAAATTGAAATCCGATTGAACCGTTGGGGTTAGACAGTCAAACTCTACACAACAATATAATTTTCATTAATTATTGACAAACTTTATAATTCACTTATTTTTGGGGTCCTTCTCAGTAATTAATTAATTATCAATTACTTAATTCTGATAGGCCTATTTTCGGGGCGTTACAAAGACTTATCTCCTATTGGGTGCACAATGCCATTGTAAGTAGCAACTAATGATTCTCGTTTGTAATATGGTGAGATGAAATCATAACATGACAAAGCCGGGCGAGAAGCAATGGCCGCAACGGCATAACCCATCTGTGATGCTCCCGTTTGAATAATAAAATAGAAAACATTCTATTAAATTAAGTAAAGGAATGAACTCAAACAATAGACGTATAACCTAATATACATATTCAGTCAAACACGTGAAGAAGTTGAAATCATGTCTCCTAATGCTTATACTTTGCACCTATACTTCACACCGCAAACTTCAGTTTATTAAACGTATACATCGCATAACACACTTCGAACTACACTACGTTTTTGTTCAATGGAGCCGCTTTGTTTTTAATAAAATTATGGTAACTACTTAGACATAATTAAGACATCTCTACAAAGAAAAATAGGAAATAAATAAAACTAAAAATGCAGGACAAAATTTTAACATTTAATCTTCACACTGCCCACACCATAACACCTAATCTTCACACTGCCAAAATCACAATGCCTTTCAAAAGACCTAATTTTTCAAAAGGGGCAAATACTTCGTATTTCAAAATTGATTTCACATCACCTAATCTTCAATACGAAGAAAACACAATAATAATACTAAAAATACAGGGAAATCCGAATAAAAGGATGAAGGAAAGAAAATTAAAATTTTAAGGAGAAGAGAAAATGATTAGCGACATCGCAGATTAGAATGGGAGAGAACCTGATGATTGCCGCTGCTCATCGGCCAAGGAATCGTGGGCGAAGGACTGAGGACGCATCATCGCCGGCGAAGGAAAGGAGGACCGTGGAGTTCAATAGCGTGCCGGAGAACGGAAGGAGAGATTGGAGTTGAATACCATAATTTTTAATGAAAAAAAGAAAAAGGGGTAAAGGTATGATAGGAAAGGATTGACACCATAAATTGCTAAGTTTGTTTAAAACAATGAGTAGTGCTAAATGCGTAATTTAGGGTGAGTTAGAGTACTATGTAGGGTGATTTCTTAATCAACATACATAAATATTTTTCCATTCAATCTAATCTCTCGTATGTATCTATATATCTATTTATTTATTTAGAAATCACCCTAAATAGGACTAAACCATATACAAAAATAACAAAATAAGACTTTCATGTTTTTGTTCTTGAAATATGACTTCACACTATAGTTATATAGTTGTAGTGTAGCATTGTACATGTGCACATTACTATACTTTTTGTTAATGTACATTACCATGTTTGGTAATGTAAATGCATTTTAAGTCCTATTTCAGGAATAAAAATATGGAAGTCCTATTTTGATATATTTTCAATTTACTCTTACTTGGGTGTTTCTCTCTTATTTATTTCTATAATGATATACTCCGTAACACAAAAAAGTATCACAGCTTTTGTTTTTTCAAGATAGATAAAAATAAGAGTAAACTCCATAAAAAGTCTCTAGTCGTACTTCGTTTTACATATTTAGTCCTTACATATCAAATATCAATAATTTAGTCCCTAATTACTATATTGTTTTCCACAAATGGCTTGTTAACATTTTTGTTAAAAACGTGGATAAAATTTTAAATTCACGCACTTTCTTTTCAATTAAGCTTCCTCCCTCCTCTCGCACTTCTTTCTCAAACCCGTCGCTGAGTTTGAAGCTTTGAACCCAACACCAAAATCATCACTTCTCTCTCAATTGTTCGTCTTCGTGGTGGAATCCAAAATCCAAATTAGTAACCCTCATGGATGAGTTTTAAGGTTTGTTTTCTTTGCAATTTCATGAGACTAACCCATAAAACTCATCCATGAAGGTTATGGTTTCGATTTTGGGTTCTACCAGAAAAATTAACAATTAAGAGATGAGTGATTGTTTCGATTTTGGGTTTAGAGATTCAAACTCAGCAATG